TTGTTCTGATTTAAATCCAAGCTAGCAGCTGCTTTTGCCTGGATGCTTTGACTTTGCTGCTGCTCTCCTCTGCTCCATTCAGTCCCACCACCGAAAGCTTCCGACGTTTCCTCGCTGCCACGTCAGTCCAAACAGCAAGTCTCCACCAAACGATTTGGTCTCTGCCCTTCCTGCCAACTCCTCCGAGTTTTCTCCCCGTCACTAAAACGCAGCTCATGATGATACATTTAAAGAACTTGGTATTTCTTAATACTGTAAATCTAATCTGGGCTACATTTATATATATATATATATATATATATATATACAGGGGTTGGACAATGAAACTGAAACACATGGTTTTAGACCACAATAATTTATTAGTATGGTGTAGGGCCTCCTTTTGCGGCCAATACAGCGGGTCCTGGTTTTCCACCATACTGCCAGCTCTGCCAGTACTTTTCCGGATCATCTACCTCATCAGTGCAACCACCTTCACCTGTGTTCCTTCACCTGATTTAAACCCACTCTTTTCTCTCAGTCTCTGCCAGATTGTCTTTAGTGTCATGCAAAGCTTTCCAGCGTTTTCTTCCGGACTGCTTCCCTGTTTTCGACCCTGCCTGCCCCTGACTCGTCCTCATCGTTCCAGCCCCGGTAACCTGAACAGCCTTCTGCCTCTGACTCCTCCGCCTGCCTGCCCTTGTCTGTCTCCAGTTTGTTGGGAAAATAAACTGTTGAACTGTTCATCGCTGGTCTCAGTCTGTGTTGTACTTGGGTCCAGCTTCACACCGTTTACAGCACTCTCAGACGAGCTTGTGCGTCTTTTAACGCATATTTAGTGTTTCTCTAAGACTTTTTTCAAAACGTGGTCAGCTTAACATAGTTTACTTCTTGTGTGATAAATTGCTCAATTATTAAATAGTTTTCATAGTAGATGCTTGTAATTAATAATTTATTCATTTTTTCGCAGATGGCCATCTGTACTACCTAAAGCATAGAGGACAGCCTAATTGTCATAAGGCCAAGGTGCTCCGTGGAAAAGAGGAGGCCAATGTAGTCTTTGTAGACTTTCATGCCAGCAACACTGGTGCACACTGTGGCCAGAAAGACAACAGAGGCCATCTCAAAAAGATTTTACTGGCCTGGCATGTCAGACGACATGAAACAGTGGGTCAGTATGAGTGTATGTTATCCTGCCATATCTATCTATCTAAAAATAAATTATGGGACTCTAAGTCACACAGATGTGGAAAATGATCATACTTGTTTTTTTGTCAGGTGAACCAGTGTACTGCATGCCAGGCCAGCAGAGTCGTCATTAAGCAGGAGGTTGACCAATAAAAGTAAAAAAAAAACAACATAATTTCAGTCATATTATATTTTACTTTTAGATAAAATGTGTTTGACATTGTACTTATTGAGGACATATGACGTACATTTTAATTGTGATATTTTATGTGTTACAGGTTTCAAAACCATTTGAGCTTATTGGGATGGATCTGATAGGCAAGTTAAAAACAACAAAGACAGGGAATCAGTATATTTGCGTCATTGGTTGATTACCTGACAAAGTGGCCCCAGGCATATGCTATAAAAAACAAGACTGCTGAGGAAGTCAGTCAGTGCATCCTCAAGTTTTTTTTTATCTGTTTGAAGCTCCCAAGAGGATCTTTACTGGCCAAGGCCGGGAGTCTGTTAATGAGGTATATATGCTACTGACATTAAATAAAAATATATTAA